TCCATCCTCCAGGAAATAAAGCCCGACTGCTCATTGGAGGGAAGGATATCTAGAGACAAAGTTGAAGTACTTTGGCCACATCATGAGGAGACAGGAAAGCCTAGAGAAGACAATTATGCTGGGGAAAGTGGAAGGCAAAAGGAAGAGGGGCCGACCAAGGGCAAGATGGATGGATGGCATCTTTGAAGTGACTGGACTGACCTTGAAGGAGCTGGGGGTGGTGACGGCCGACAGGGAGCTCTGGCGTGGGCTGGTCCATGAGGTCACGAAGAGTCGGAGACGACTGAACGAATGAACAACAACAACGACAACGTATTGTCGAAGGCTTTCACGGCCAGAATCACTGGGTTGTTGTAGGTTTTTTCGGGCGATATGGCCATGGTCTAGAGGCATTCTCTCCCAACATTTCACCTGCATCTATGGCAAGCATCGTCAGAGGTTGTGAGGTCTGTTGGAACTAGGAAAAAGGGTTTATATATCTATGGAATGACCACGGTGGGACAAAGAACTCTTGTCTGTTGGAGCTAGGTGCGACTGACCAACTTGATTAGCATATAATGGCCTGACAGAGCCTGGAACAAACAGTTGTCCTTGTTTCCTCTTGCTGTTGTAATTTTAGAGTTTTTAAATACCAGTTTTTAAATACTGGTAGCCAGATTTGTTCATTTTCATGGTTCCTCCTTTCTGTTGAAATTGTCCACATGCTTGTGGATTTCAATGGCTTCTCTGTGTAGTCTGACATGGTGGTTGTGAGAGTGGTCCAGCATTTCTGTGTTCTCAAATAATATACTGTGTCCAGGCTGGTTCATCAGGTGCTCTGCTATGGCTGATTTCTCTGGTTGAAGTAGTCTGCAGTGCTTTTCATGTTCCTTGATTCGTGTTTGGGCAATGCTGCGTTTGGTGGTCCCTATGTAGACTTGTCCACAGCTGCATGGTATACGGTAGACTCCTGCAGAAGTGAGAGGATCCCTCTTGTCCTTTGCTGAATGTAGCATTTGTTGGATTTTCTTGGTGGGTCTGTAGATAGTTTGTATGTTGTGTTTCCTCATCAGCTTCCCTATGCGGTCAGTGGTTCCCTTGATGTATGGCAAGAACACTTTTCCTTTGGGTGGATCTTCATCTTTATTCTCGTGGCTTGTTCTCGGTCTTGCAGCTCTTCTGATGTCTGAGGTGGAGTATCCATTGACCTGTACAGCCAATCTGTTCCTAGTTTGAAAGTGCTAGTTCCTGTTTAATTGTGCAGTACTTACTTTGAAAGTAGTTGTTATACCCCAGATACTTCGTTTTATGTTGAATTGCGACATCAATTGGGGTTGAGGCTTAATGGGCTATTCCTTGAAAAACTATAGCTAAATTTGCTGCAAGATGTTCCACAAAAATAAAGTTTTTACAGTTTAATAAACTTCAACCTGAGAAGTCACCCATTGCAGAGCTCTGGATGAACCAACCTGGGTACAGCATATTATTTGAGAACACAGAAATGCTGGACCACTCTCACAACCACCATGCTGATCTAAACCATTCTGCTGCAAGTTGCAGATGGATGAAGCTGTGGTCATTCATAATATTTCCTTCTGTTACTGAGATAAATCTCCCTTTTTCCCTCAGCATTGTTCCCACAAGCAATTCTCTCAGTTCTATAAGCCAGGTTGACTTGATGCTCACACAGTGGATGTTAAACAAATGGATGCAAATATCTTCAACACCAGACAGGCTTTAATACCTAAAAGCAAACTTTTCTCCCTGAAAATGCTGCAACTACTAATTTGGGAGTGTGAGGCACATTAATCTGCTTTACAGATTCCATCCCTTTTAAAGACGTAATTCAGCTTTAAAGATGACACCTTTTCTCTTCTATTGTACCATACCCATCAGGGAACCTGAAAGACTCTGAGAAACATGAATTAATTAGCTCTTCTACAGCTTTCGAGCTGAAAGTCGGGAATGATTTTCCTCTGCTTTGGCAGGAGCCCTTCCTTGTATGTTTAACTTTGAAGATTTCATGAAGAGTTGGACTGAAGTGCAATCCTGGCTTGAATCTTCAATATTGCAAGAGCCTTTTCTCCCAGGCAACAAGTCATCCCAGGTATTCACGGACGTGGACAAATAATGGCAGCCGTCCAACAGCATTTCAGCTAGCAAAAATATGTCAATTGCTGAGCTTATGCAGAATATTTCTCCATGTGAACTTTTGTGTTATATTTCTAAGTTGCCTTCCCACTAAATGTGCAGGTGAATATATACAAGCCCGTAGTTATCTGTAACTCTGTGTGAAATCAAAGCAATCTGTTGGATTTCCACAGCCTTCTGCGAACCCCAGAGCCATCTGCCTTCAGCACTGTTCAGCCCACTCCACCCATATACCATATGTATGACCCCACCCGTTGATGTATGATCTGATTTCAGGACTATGCATACCAAACATTCCTGGCACTTTGGATTGCATAAGCAGCAGGGTCTGCAAATGACTTCAGTGAGTAGCTAGTATTTTCACTCACCAGTTTCCCTTGTCCAAAGTACTCCTGATATACACACACAACAAAAGTGGGTCAGAACTCAGAAGGATGCCAACATTGTTAATTTCTTGGCACCTCTGATAACTCAGTTATGTAGCCCAGAACCTTGCTGGTGTTTAACACTGCTAGTTTGTACATCCGGCCTGCTGTAACCAGATCCCACACTCATCCATGGCTTGAAAGTATTCAAAAGAAGAATTCCAAAAGGTACACCTTTTACTTTGCCGTTGGACATAATGGGATTTGATTATCTATYTATCTATTTATTTATTTCATATATTTATATCCCGCCCTTCTCCCCAYGAGGCGGACTCAGCGCAGCCTCACATGAGCATCAGAGGATGCTAACAGCATAAATACCATAAAAATTACAATTCACAATGAAATCATTTTAAAACATTTTACATCATCATCACTTAAATTTAACAATAMATTAATAGATTAACGTGCCAGTAAAACCAAGCYGAGCCGGGATAATCYGTATCGCAAAATCCAAATTTCCTTTTCCTATTGCCGCTGGCCTCTAATTGAACGCCTGGCCCCAGAGCCAGGTCTTCAGTTGTCTTCTAAAGGACAGGAGGGAGGTGGCCAACCTGACATCCTTAGGGAGAGAGTTCCACAGACAGGGCAACTGCCAAGAAGGCCCTGTCTCTTGTCCCCACCAACCGCATTTGCGAGAGTGGTGGGATCGAGATCTTAAGCTTCGTGATGGTTCATAGCAGGAGATACTTTTGGACAGGTAATCTGGGCCAGAACCATTCAGGACTTTAAAGGTTAAAACCAGCACTTTGAATTGTGTCCGGAAGCTAATCGGCAGCCAGTGGAGCTGGCGCAACAGAGGGGTGGTATGATCCCTGTACGCAGCTCCAGTTAACAACCTGGCCACCGACTGCTGGACTAATTGGAGCTTCCGAGAAGTTTTCAAAGGCAGCCCCACGTAGAGAGTGTTGCAGTAGTCTATTCAGGATGTAACCAGAGCGTGGACCACCATGGCCAAGTGGATTGTGGTATCCTGGAATCAAACCCAAGGTGATACCAAGAGCCCACTATATATTACATTGACTTACTTTTCCCTGTGGCTTTTCAATGTCATGTATTTCTATGTTTCTCTTTTTTGTATACTGGAGGTTTCAAAGTGAGTGGTATAGAATAACACACTCAGTATAGTTAAGGTAAAGGTTTCCCCTTGACATTAAGTTGAGTTGTGTCCAACTCTGGGGGTGGTGTTCATCTCCATTTCTAAGCAGAAGAGCCAGTGTTATCTATAGACACCCCCAAGGTCATGTGGCCAGCATGGAGCACCATCCCCCCCCCCCCCCAAAGTGGTACCTATTGATCTACTTTTTGCATGTTTTCGAACTGCTAGGTTGGCAAAATCTGGGGCTAACAGCAGGAGCTCACCCCACTCCCCAGATTCGAACTACTAACCTTTTGGTCAGCAAGTTCAGCAGCTCAGCGGTTTAACCAGCTGCATCACCCGGGATCCAAAGATCGATAGATGATAGATAGATAGATACGATATCTTTGGATCAAGCAGAAAGAGAGAGGAAGACTTCATGTGCCCGTCTGGATGCCAACACAAGGGAGATCACCCACCACCAACTCACCAAGCCTTCTGCTAGGCAACGTACCACCAGATCCTGGGCAAAATCAATGCCTGTTGTTCCCTGAGAGATCTGACAGTGATGCCTTTCTGCAAATTGTCAGATGCACCTTTCGAGGTATAGGTTATTACTGGATGCTTATCCCCCTGCCAAGTGGACTTGAGGAAACTTGCTTACAAATAATCCCTATCTTAAAGTCACTTCAAGGCACCTGCATATCCTGATTCCCTGTTGGTCTTTATGTAATTGTTTTATCATAAGTATCATGGAAAGTTGTGTTGGAAAACCCTACCCTGAAACCTCTCTGTGGGTTCTCAAAGATAGAGTGCAAATTCTGGCAGAATCTTCCAACTAGTTAGGCCTTGAGTACCCTGAATGTTTTACTATCAGAGGACCAAAGCACAAAGAAATTACCACCAGAATGTTGGTCTCAAGGTGATGAATTATCTACAGTTGTTGACGCAATGGTGTGAAATAACCATCACTGACTTCATTGGAGGGACCACCCACACAAATCAAATCATAGATCTTCAAGGCATTCAAGCCATGAAGAAAATAATTTTTGCTGACTTGTGCCTCACATGCAAGTTGCTGAATTAGACAACGTGTTACTAAAGTTGAAATCAAGATGCATATCTTAAATATTGTCTTAATGATAAATGGAAAAGGAGAAGGGAAATCTGTCATTCTTACATGTACTGCTCTTTTTCAGTATTTCAGTTGGCAAATACCGGGCACTAACACGTTAGGTTTGATTTAAGTGACACTGGCCTTCCATTTCTACCTGGCTGGCCAAACTGCAGAAGGATGTTGTGCTTCCAAATTGCGCATATGGATTTTCTCAATGCTTCAATGGCTGGATGGCTGCAGAAATACTTGCCTGTTCAGATAAACCCTTTTTTCTGTCAGCTGGCCATTCCCATAATTTGGATCTTCGTAGGGTTCATTCTGCACCACTTCTACACCTTCTCCACGATCGCTCTGCTCATGGCTGTGCTTACTGATCATATACAGCTGCCCAATTCTGTACTGCAATGCAAAAGAGAAACGGAAGAATTAGCTTTTCACCAATGCATCCAAAGCCATAAAGCACTCACTACGGCAGCAATCAAAATAACTGGAAGTAACTACTGAGATAAATGGCTAACTGCCCTGAGATTACAGTAAGCAATACTGTAAAAATGCTCAAAGCCAACCTTAAAAACTCTGGCATAGACACTGAGAACTGGGAAGCCCTAGCCCTTGACCACTCCAGTTGGAGGTCAGTTGTGACCAGCAGTGCTGTAGAATTTTAAGAAGCACGAATGGAGGACAAAAGAGAGAAACGTRCCAAGAGGAAGGCACGTCAACCCAACCCCAACCAGGACCACCTTCCACCCGGAAACCGATGCCCTCACTGTGGGAGAAGATGCAGATCAAGAATAGGGCTCCACAGTCACCTACGGACCCACCGCCAGGACACTACACTTGGAGGACCATCATCCTAGGACTACGAGGGATCACCTAAGTAAGTAACAGTAAGCAATACTCAAGATGTGAATATAAGACTCTTCTTTTAGTTTTGAAAAGTATTTATAATCTTCTACCCAGAGTCGCAGTATTCTAAAGTGGGCTCACACATTTTAAATGGCTCAACATGGAGGAGTCCCACATGTTTARCTTACGGAAGAGAAGGTTGAGAGGAGACATGATAGCCATGTATAAATATGTGAAAGGATGCCATAAGGAAGAGGGAGCAAGCTTGCAACTCTGGAGATTAGGACTTAGAGCAGTGGTTCCCAACCATTGGGCCTTCAGCTCCCACAGTTCCTAACAGCTGATAAACTGGCTGTGATTTCTGGGAGTTGAAGTCCAAAACACCTGGAGCCCCAAAGGTTGGGAACTCCTGACTTAGAGCAATGGGTTCCAATGACAGGAGAGGAGGTTCCACCTAAATGTTAGGAAGAACTTCCTGACCATAAGAGCTGTTCAATAGTGAACCTCTCTGTCTCGGGAATGTGGTGGATGCTCCTTCCTTGGAAGCTTTGAAACAGAGCATGAATGGCCATCTGTCAGGGGTGCTTTGATTGTGTTTTTTTCTGCATAGTAAGGAGCTGGACTAGATGGCCCATGCAGTCTCTATGATTGTATGTGGGAAATTACATCCGATCTACAACAAGCACAGCTGCAGCCTCCGAAATCTGATAGTTATTGTCAAATGCAGTGGCATAAAATGTGCCACCATGATCATGCAAATTGCTTGTCGATGTGCCCAGTTACATCTTTGGATGAGCCAGATCTGACATTTCTTTCCAAGTGCAGCTGTGTCCCCCTGGGCCTCACTCCATAGGCCATGCTCCAATCAGCCAACGTTCAGTATATTTTTTGATTATGAGAGAACATTCGAGACGTTCAATGGACATATCCCAGACATTGGCATTGCAATCTAATAAGACGTACTTGTTTTTGAAAGAATGAATGAAAGGGCTACATCATTATAAAAATATCTTGAAAAGACATTGGAAATGCTTTGATTGTATTTATAAACAGTGACTGAGATCCATAAAGATTAATAATCAAAACTCTTACAACAGGAAAATCACGATGTAAAAGCAACTGAACTATTTCTTTAATGATGTATCACCTAAAATATTCGGATTAGGCATTCGGAGGTAAATTACCCACCCAACGATGAGATAAATGCAGAAATACAGTATTTGCTTACTTTAATTTAATTGAGTTAAATAGATTTCTAATGGGTTTTCAAAGGCCTATAAGAACTTTGGGAAAAAAGAGCCTGTGCTTTATAAGTTTTAGCAAACCCTTTGATTGTACAGATCATGAAAAATTATGGATTGCTCTTTCGGAAATGGGTGTACACAACATTAGATTATCCTAAGGCACCATCTGTACTCAGCACAAGAGGCCATTGTCCAAGTCTAAATATGTAAAAACAGAATTGTTTCCAATTGGCAAAGGGGACAGGCCAGGCTGCATAATAATAATAATAATAATAATAATAATAATAATAATAATAATAATAATAATAATAATAATAAATTGGAGCTTGTGCCACAAATACCATCTGCCTGCGACAAAGAACTGGTGGGATCACAAGCCTGAAAACGTTACAGAAGATGAACATGTCAAGCTACTCTGGGACTTCCGGATTAAGACAGAGTTTTGGAGCACAATACTCCTGACCTCACTATCGTGTTAAAAAACAAAGTATGGATTGTCGATGTTGCAATCCTGGGAGACAGCAGGATCGAAGAGAAACAACTGGAAAATATGACATTATATGAGGATTTAAAGATCGAACTGCAAAGACTCTGGCACAAACAAGTAAAGGTGGTCCCAGTGGTGATCGGCACACTGGGTGCAGTGCCTAAAGACCTTGGCCTGCACTTAAAGACAACGGCGCTAACAAGATTACCATCTGCTACCTTACTGGGATCTGTACGTATTATTCGCCGATACATCACATAGTCCTAGACACTTGGGAAGTGTCCGATGTGTGATCCAATACAACAGCCAGCCGAGTGTCTGCTGTGGACTCATCTTGTTGTGTTTCAAATAATAATTATAACAACAATAATAATAAACTTTATTTATATCCTGCCACCATCTCCCTGAAGGGGAGCTAACATGAGGCCAAGCCCAAAGATACAATACAACAAAATAAAGCGCAAAATCAACAAAAATTACATCACAATAAAGTACATACAGTGGCAAAATATAGTAAACAAAGCAAAATAACATAACAGAAAATCGAACACAATAGGCAGGCCAAATGGACAAAATAAAATGATAAAACCCTGGATAAGGTAGGAGTAGAAAAAGTGTATTTGAGAGGAGCCCAAAAAAGGACGAATAGTACGGTTAGGCCTTCAGTTTAGGATGGGGGAAAGTGCATCAGAAGGGCAACACTGTAGATGGAACAGACAGAAATGGGATGAATGGTCATTCTCCAAAGGTACAACGGAAGAGCCAGGTTTTCAGATCTTTCTTAAAGGCTGCTAGGGTGGAGTCTTGCCTAATCTCACCAGGTAGTGAGTTCCAAAGTTGGGGGGCCACAGCGGAGAAGGCTTTCTCCCTCATTTTCACAAGTCGTGCCTGAGGTAGAGGAAGGGGCGAAAGGAGGGTCAGCTGACATTTTATAACTGTATTTGTTTCACTTGTATGCCAATGTATCATAACTAAAGCTGGATTAGACTGAGAGGAAGATGATGTGATAACTGGAGGAAGGAACATGAACAATTCAAGGTATTCAGAAAACACCATGACCTGATGACAGAGTGACTTGAGGGTCTCTCATTCATAGGATGGCCATAAATCCAAGTTGACTTGATGGCAGTCAACAACAATTAGACTTGATGAAATAACTGAAACGCAATATTAAACAGGTGTTTGTGCTAATTCATTGGTTTTCTACATTGTTCCTTTACTGAATTCTAAAAATATTGGAAACTGCAAAACGAAGCCCCGCTATATTTATTATATACACTTCCTGCTTTTGGGGGCGAAAGAACCTTAGCGTAAAACAATAACACATTCACAAATCCTAGAAGTTGTAGATGAAGTTCATATCGAATGCATTTTATTGTAACTATCACCGACTAGGAGTACAAAGCATTAAAACATTAAAATCAGAGGGGTTTTTTTTTAAATACATTAACATAAAGATCAATGATTCAAAACATTAAAAGCTGAAAGTCCCCAAGGTGCAGTCATTATATTTGGAATACACATTTCTGCAATAGTTTGTTAATTTACAACTTTATTTATTGATTGTGTAAGAATGGAATTGAGAATACAGTTATAATGTATAGAAAAACCACAAACAAAGTTAAAAACTTGGCATTGTACTTGTTTATAAAGCTATTGTCCTCCCAACCCTGCTATACGCTTGCGAGATGTGGGCAGTCTACAGACGTCACATGCAACTCCTAGAACAATTCCATCAGTGCTGCCTCCTAAAAATCCTGCAAATCTCTTGGGAAGACAAGTGCAATGATTGGTAATGACTATAGGAATGGAACAACGGAAAATGATATTGGATTGTGGTTTGGACGATGAGACGACGCTGAATGGTTTTCGTAGTAATGACAATGTTTGTATAATGCTTTTTGTATAATGTTTTTGTATAATGGATTGTGAATTGTTTTTATACTGTGACTTGAATTTTGTTCTTCCTATGTTGTACACCGCTGTGAGTCGCCCCTGGGCTGAGAACAGCGGTATATAAGCAAAGTAAATAAATAAATAATAAATAAAATAAGACAAGCGGACCAATGTCAGCATGCTGGAAGAAGCAAAGACCACCAGCATTGAAGCGATGGTCCTCCACCATCAACTCTGCTGGACTGGCCACGTTGTCCGGATGCCCAACCACCGTCTCCCAAAGCAGTTGCTCTACTCCAAACTCAAGAACAAAAACGCAATGTTGGTGGACAGGAAAAGAGATTTAAAGATGGGCTCAAAACCAACCTTAAAAACTGTGGCATAGACACTGAGAACTGGGAAGTCCTGGCCCTTGAGCACTCCAGCTGGAGGTCAGCTGTGACCAGCAGTGCTGTAGAGTTTGAAGAGGCACGAATGGAGGGCAAAAGAGAGAAACGTGCCAAGAGGAAGGCGCGTCAAGCCAACCCCGACAGGGACTGCCTTCCACCTGAAAACCAATGCCCTCACTGCGGGAGAAGATGCAGATCAAGAATTAGGCTCCACAGTCACCTACGGACCCACCGCCAGAACACCGACCTTGGAGATCCATCATCCTCGGACTACGAGGGATCGCCTAAGTAAAAGTAAGTAAGTAAGATTTATGAGGAGCCCCCGGTGGCGAAGTGGGTTAAAGCACTGAGCTGCTGAGCTTGTTGATCGAAAGGTCGCAGGTTCGATTCCGGGGAGCGGCGTGAGATTCCGCTGTCAGCCCTAGCTTCTGCAAACCTAGCAGTTCGAAAACATGCAAATGTGAGTAGATCAATAGGTACCGCTCCGGCGGGAAGGTAACGGCGCTCCATGCAGTCATGCCGGCCACATGACCTTGG